CACTTATATCATCAAATCCTCCATGATATCACTTATATCATCAAATCCTCCATGATATCACTTATATCATCAAATCCTCCATGATATCACTTATATCATCAAATCCTCCATGATATCACTTATATCATCAAATCCTCCATGATATCACTTATATCATCAAATCCTCCATGATATCACTTATATCATCAAATTCGTAATTACATAAACATACTCAGGATTAACACCTTGCATTTGCATAAACCCATGACTGACAGTCATTTTAAGCAGTCAAAACGACTGTTTGAATCATGCTTTCCTGTCGCTTTTACGCGAAAATCGAGCTGACATCGTTTTGAACTTGTATTGTGGATATATTCATACTTGTATGCGAAATGAAAATAATGCACCACAGGCATTAAGATTGTTGGAAAGAGTGATTTTACAGAGCACCTCAAAACGACGTTTCATGCTTGAGTGTCATTTGCATACTGAAAACTGGTGGCCATTTTTCTATTTATACACCCGGAGCCATGGTTTAAGGGAATATATAGAGGGTGTGTCAGTGTTCTCCCCTGACTTCATGTCAAACATCACAGCTAATTTGCATAACAATACAATTGAATAATACTAACTTGCATAATGTTATTTGCATAATACTTAGTTTCCCCAACAAACATTGTGATATGATAACTACAAAGAGATATTTTTATATATCTCGTATAGTTTATATCATTTAATTGCATTATATTTTATGTGTGTATCAAGTCAAATGAAGCGTGAAATAGAACAGCAAAAAAAAAATGGAAATACTGTATTTTTGCTTGGAATAAATTTTCGCTGGAAAATAATTCAGTGAAAATAAATTCCAGTGAATATACCTTTTTCCCTATATTTGACATTCAACTTATGAAAAATCAGTGAAAATTAATTCTATAAAAAACACCCAAAAAGTTTTTTTACAGTACTTATAGCCAGTCAGTAAATATATTGTTATCCATGGAGGTTATTCGTTCATCATTATTTTGTGTAGTGCCCATGTAACTGTCAATTCATATACATTTTTTGGTTAAATTTGTGAGATTGCGAGTTATCAAAATAATGATGAAATTAATAAATCAATAATGACAAATGTTTTTTTTCTACAACGGCATTTCAAAACTAAAGTCTGTGATTTTTTTTAACTTATACCTCATGCGTAACAATACAATCACTCATGGACGTACTAACATAGATCGTCCATGGATCACCATAACATTGTCAGCTGCTGTTGCGATCATTGCTCTGACTTTTTGGTGAATTTTTTTTTAGAAATTACATCAACGAGATGTTGTTTTAAACATCGCGGAAAAGTATGCACTCTGCGCCGCCATCTTTGTTACCTGAATCTTAATCCCCATTGTAACCCAGCATGCATCGGTCTTGATGTCACAACGTGTGCCTTAGGTT